TCTTTTCAGAGGGATATTAAACCCCAGGTCGTCTCAACTCAAACAGAGCTACTCCAACACACATTGTCATGAACCATTCCAAAGTCAAGACAAAAGTGAAGATTCTGCAAGCAGCTAGGAGTAAGTGCCAATTGACTTACAGGGGAAAATCCAACAAGGTCATCATGGACTTGTCAAATGAAACTTTTCAAGCCAGAAGAGAATGGTCATCTAACTTTAACCTACTTTATCAAAACTATTTTCATCCCAGAATTTTATATCTTGCTGAGATAAGCATTAAAATTGATGAAGGAATCAAATCTTTTACTGATATGCAAACACTGAGGAAGTGTGGCACAAGACTAGCTCTACAGGAAATACACATATTTGACAGAGTTACCATCACAATGGACTACCAGCAAATTACATACCCAGAAGCGAAAGGACAAAAGCTAGTTTCCACAATGATGATAAAGATAAAAGTCATCAACAGGCTTTCACAAAATAAGATGAATAAAAATCTACCACACTCATCACTTCTCTCAATAAATGTTAATGGCTTGAATTCTTCACTGAAGAGGCACAGAGGAGAATTTGCTGCTTGCAGAAAACATACCTAGCCTCAAAGGACAAATCAGAACTCAGGGTTAAGGAATGAAAAACAATTTTTTCAGGCAAATGGGAATCAGAAGAAAGGAGGGGTTGCAGCCTTATTTTCTGATACAAGTGGATTTGAAGCCACTAAAGTGAAAAAAGGCAAAGATGGACACTTCATATTCTGTCAAGAGAACAATACAACAAAACAACATTTCAATTCTAAACGTTTATGCACCCAACTTAAATGCACCCAGATTCTTGAAACAGATCTTAATTAGTCTAAGCAATATGATATCCTATAGCACCATAATAGTAGGGGACTTTAACACTCCTCTTACAGAGATGGACAGATTCCCTAAACAGAGATACAAGGGACTTAAATGTAACCCTAGAACAACTGTGATTAATAGACATACATAGAACACTCCATCAAAAAGCTAAATAGATGTCCTTTTCATTGGCCCATGGAACATTCTCCAAAACAGATCATATCCTAGGACATAAATCAAACCTCAACAAAATCAAAAGAATTTAAATTATACTTTGTATCTTCTCAGACCACAAGACAATAAACGTGAACTCAACTCTAACAAAAATTGTCATAACTTCACATAGGCATGGAGATTAAACAAAACAACCTTATGTTGAATTACAGTTGGTTCAAGGAAGAGATAAGAAAGGAAATCATTAACTTCCTTGAGCATAACAAAAATGAAGACACAAGTTACCAAAACCTATGGGACACTGTGAAAACAGTCTTACAAGGGAAATTTATCACATTGGATACCTACATTTGAAAAACAGAAAGAGATCACATTGACAACTTAATGATTCATTTTAACAAAAGGGAAAAGGAAGAGTAATCTAATCCCAAACCTAGGAGAAGTAAAGAAATAACCAAAATTAAATCAGAAATAAATAAAATTTAAAATAAAAAGAATCATTCATAAAATTAATGAAACAAAAAGTTAGTTCTTTGAAAAGATAAATAAAATCAATAAACCATTGGCCAGTTTAACCAGAAGTAGAAAAGTGAAATTGTAGTTGGGCATTGTGGCGGACACCTGTAGTTCTAGCTACTCAGGAGGCTGAGGTAGAAGAATTTCCTAAGCACAGGAGCTGGAGGTTGTTGTGAGCTGTGTGATGTCACGGCACTCTACTGAGGGTGATAAAGTGAGACTCTGTCTCTACAAAAAAAAAAAAAATTAAAAAAGAGAGAAAAGTGAAATCTTTAATAATCTCAGTCACAAATGAAAAACAACTTATACTACAGATATACAAGAGATTATTTCTGACTACTACCAAATACTCTATATCTAGAAATTTGACAATGTGGAGGAAATGGACCAATATCTGGGATCATACCATCTCTCTAAATTTAATCAGGAAGAAAGAGAACTCTTGAGAAGACCAATATCAAACACTGAAATTACAGAAACAATAAAAAAGTCTTTCAATTAAAAAAAGCCTGGAACCAGAAGGCTTTACATCAGGAGTCTATCACACCTTCAAAGGTGAGCTTGCACCTATATTACAGAACCTTTTTCAAAATATTGAGAAGGAAGGAAACTTCCCCAAAACAAAAACCAAGAAAGGACTCAAACAAAAAGGAGAACTACAGACCAATTTCACTAATGAATATCAATGCAAAAATACTCAACAAAACCTTAGCTAATAGATTATAGCTACACTTGAAAAAAATTACACAACATGATCAAGTAGGCTTCATCCAAGGGATACAATGTTGCTTTAACATACTCAAATCCAAAATTGTAATACATAATATCAATAGAAGCAAAAACAAAGACCATATGATGTTCTCAATAAATCAGAAAAAGCATTTGACGGAATTCAGCATCTTTTTCTAACAAGAATACTTAAAAATATAGGCATAGGTAGCAAATTTCTTTTTTTTTTTTTGAGACAGAGCCTCAAGTTATCCCCCTGGGTAGAGTGCTGTGGCATCACAGCTCACAGCAACCTCCAACTCCTGGGCTCCAGCGAGTCTCCTGCCTCCGCCTCCCAAGTAGCTGGGACCACAGGCGCCCGCCACAACGCCCGGCTATTTTTTGGTTGCAGCCGTCATTGTTGTTTGACAGGCCCGGGCTGGGGATTCGAACCCACCACCTTAGGTATATGTGGCTGGCGCCTTAGCCGGTTGAGCTATAGGCACCGAGCCATAGGTAGCACATTTCTTAAGCTGATTGAAGCCATCTGTGATAAAATCACAGCTAATATCACACTGAATGACGTAAAACTGCAAGATTTTCCACTGAGAACTGGAACCAGGCAAGGATGTTCACTATTGCCACTGTTACTCAACATTTTGCTGGAAGTTCTCAGCAATGCAATTAAGCCAGAGAAGGAAATAAAGCGAATCCAAATGCGGGCAGAGGAGGCCAAGTTCTTGCTCTTTGCTGATGATATGATCTTATGCTTATAAAACTTCACACGCTCTATTAAAAAAATTCCTGGAAGTGATCAGGAATTACAGTTAATATCTCAGGTTATAAAATCATTGTCCACAAATCAGTAGGCTTTGTATATGCCAATAGCAATTAATGTTCTAATGAAGAACACAATTCCCTTCTCAGTAGCTTCAAGGAAAATTACTTAGGAATATACCTAACAAAACAGGTGACATATCTTTTAAAAGAGAATTAATAAACTCTACAGAAAGAAATTGCAGAAGACACTAACAAATGGAAGAACATACTATGCTCTTGGCTGGGAAGAATCAACATAGTCAAAATGTCTACTTTACCCAAAACAACCTACAGCTTCAATGCAATCCCCATTAAAGTACCAACATCATATATCGAAGAACAGGAGAAAAATAGTACTTTGTTTTATATGAAACCAGAAAAACAAAAACAAAAACAAACCACCCATATATCTAAGGCTATTCCTAGTAATAAGAACAAAGCTGGAGACATCACCTTACCAGACTTTAGGTTATATTAAAAGTCCACAGTAATTAAAACATTTTATTGACACAAAAATAGAGCTATAGACATATGGAACAGAATAGAAAACCAATCTCTACTTCCCATTTGATCTTTAATAATCATAACAAAGCATCCAATGGGGAAAAGAATCCCTATTAAACAAAGGGTGCTGGGAGAATCGGATAACCACACGTATAAGACTGAAACTCAACCCACACTTTTCACCACTTAACAAAAATTGACACTAGATGGATAAAAGACTTATATCTAAGACATGAAATGATAAAAAGCATGGAAGAAAGTGTGTGGAAAAGTCCTGATGACTTTGGACTGGGGAAATATTTTATGACAAAATCTTCAGTGGCCATTGCAACAATGACAAAAATTAACAAATGGAACTTAATTAAGCTGAAAATCTTCTGCACAGCTAAGTACACAAGTAAAGAAAAGACAACCTTCAGAGTGGAATGAAGATATTTGCAGGTTATGAATTTGACAAAAGGTTGATAACCAGAATCTACAAAGATCTCAAATTAATCATCAAAAAAAGAATAAATAATCCTATCTACCACTAGGAAAGAGATATGATAACACCTTCTGTGATGATGACAGATGAATGGCTGACAATCATATGAAAAAACACTCATTTTCCCTGATCATCAGAAGAATGCAAATCAAAACCACCTCGAGATATTAGCTATACCCAGTGTAAATAGCCAACTTTAAAAAGTCTCAAAGCTGAAGAGTCTGCCATGGATATGGAGAGAAGGGAACACTTCTAAACTACTGGTGGGATGGCAAACTAATACAACGTTTTTGAAGAAAGTATGGAGAATCATCAAAGAAGTAAAATTAGACCTCCCATTTAATTCTGCAATTCCATTGCTAGGCATCTACTCAGAGGAAAAAAGTCATTTTATCAAAAGGATAGTTGCATTAGACTGTATATCACAGCTCAATTTTCAATCACCAAACTGTGAAAACAACCTGAATACCCACCAACCCAGGAATGGATTAACAAGCTGTGGTATAAGAATACCATGAAATACTATGTTACCATTAAAAAGATGGAGACTTTACATCTTTTGTGTTAACCTGGATTGATTTCGAACACTTTCTTAATTGGCAAACATCACAAGAATGGAGAATCAAAAATCAAATGTACTCAATTCTAATATGAAGGCAGTAGATGATCTAATACAAGATGGAGTGTAGGAGAAGGAGGGAGCAGGGAGAGAGGAGAAGGGAGGAGAAGGTGTGTCACTATGTATGGGTCACCTCTTGGGAGAAGAACCCAATTATAAGTGGGACTTTATGTAACAAATGCAATCAATGTGTCCTAATTGAATCCCAAGCAATAAAAAAGAAATGAAATACTACCAACAAATCTGTATCCTGCTAATTAATTAATAGAATTAATGGAGAAATCAAATCTTTTGCTGATATACAAACACTGAGGAAATTTGCCACAACAGTGTTCACTTTGGCAGAACATATACTAAAATTGGAAAAATATAGAGAAGATTAGCATGCCTGCTGTGCAAGGATTACATGCAAATTCATGAAGTGTTCCATATTTTTGAAAATACTCATGAGGAGGAATCATCTGAAGAACTCTGGCAACATGAAAAATCAGAGCAAATCTATGCCTCCTGGGGACGTCAAAGAAAATACATCAGAAAATTCCATCCACAGAGAAATTGCTGAAATGTTATAGATAGAATTTAGAATATGGATGGCAAATAAGATAATTGGAATGGAGAAAAAGATGGAAACAGAAAACCAAAAAATATTTCAGAATTTTCTCAAGAAATTAATGAATTGAAAGACAAAGTCACCAAGGATATGGACATAATGAGGAAAGATATAGCAGAGCTTAAGAAATTGAAAAAGGTCTTCAAGTAGCTTCAAAATACAGTAGCATCCCTCAGAAATATAGTTGATCAGTGGGAAGAAAGAATCACAGATAAAGAAGATAAGACTTTTGAACTATCCCAAGCATTCAAAGAGGCAAAAAATGGAGAACAAAAACAGAACATTCCCTGAGAGAGTTATGGGATCCTTCACAAAACTCAAACATCTGAATTATAGGTATTCCTAAAGGAGAAGAAGATGGTCCCAAAGACACAAATTCTCTATTCCAAGACATTATGGTGAAGAATTTCCCAAGTATTGCAAGAGACACAGAAATTCAGGTAGTAGATGGTTTCAGAACCCCAGCACAACTCAATACAAACAAGGCATCCAAAACTGTAATAAATTTTGCCAATGCTAATATGAAGGAGAAACTTCTGTAAGCAGTCAGGCATAAAAAAAGTATTCCTTACAAAGGGTACAATATAAGGATGACCACAGATCTTTTGGCCAAAACTTTCCAAGCCACAAGAACATGGTCATTGACTTTCAACCTTCTTAAACAAAACAATTTTCATTCCAGGGTCCTATGCCCTGACAAACGGAGTTTCATTTGTGATGGAGAAATCAAATACTTCACTGACATCCACATGCTGAGGAAATTTGCCATGACTAGTCCAGGTCTACAAGAAATACTCAGACCCATTCTTCATAACAATCAAGAGGAGGGTACACTGCCAAAGTAAATCTACCCAGAAATTAAGTGTAGCTTCCACAATGGTGAGAAGCATAAAATTAAGCTCTGGACTTTTGAAAAGCAAGATGACCAAAACTCTGCCACATCTATTCATCCTCTCAATTAATGTGAATGGTTTCAACTATCCTTTAAATATGCATAGGCTGGACACAAAAACTCAGGCTAGATATCTGTTTTTATACAAAAAAAAAAAAATCACCTTAAAGGAGAAAACACGACTCAAGGTGAAGGGATGGGCAATGGTATTCTAGGCAAATAGGAAACAGAAAAAAATCTAGGGTTGCAATATTTTATGCAGACACAATTGGATTCAAACCAACAAAAATAATGAAAGACAAAGATAGACACTACATATGGTTAATTGAAACACACTATCTGAAGAGATTTCAATAGTTAACATCTATGGACTTTATCTGAATGCTCCTTGATATATAAAACAAACACTAACTGATCTGAACAATATGATACCTTCCTGCACTACAATAGTTGGAGATTTTAACATCTCATTGACAGAACTGGACGGATTCTCCAAGAAGAAACTAAACAAAGAAATAATAGACTTAAAGAAGACCCTAGAACAAATGGATTTAACAGACATTTATAGAACACTTTATCCTAACAAAACTGAATACACATTGTGCTCATCAGCCCACAGAGTATCTTCCAAAATTGATCATATCTTAGGTCACAAGGCTAACCTCAAGAAATTTAAAAGAATAGAAATTATCCCCAGTATCTTCTCAGACCATCATGAAATAAAAGTTGAACTCAACAGCAAAAGAAATCTTCATACTCAAATAAAATCATGGAAACTAAATAACCTTACACTGAATGATAGCTGGGTCATAGACTAGATCAAGAACAGATTATTAGCTTTCTGGGATAAAATGATAATGAAGCCACAAACTATCAAAACCCGTGGAGTATGGCGAAGGTAGTCCTTAGAGGGAAATTTATAGCATTAAATTATCATTTATTTGATAAGTGAAAGTTTTAACGTGCTTTGCTGTGTGAAATTTAAAAAAGGGATGGTTTTTACAGGCTACAACAATAAATGTCACTGTGAAGTTTAAAAAATAAATATTGAAAAATAAAAATTGGTAATAGACATGAATTTTTCCAAAGAAGACTTATAAATGACCAGCAGGAGTATGAAAAAGTACTTAACATAACTAATCATCAGAGAAGTGAAAATTAAAACCACAGTGAGATATCAACTCAGTGAAATATTCTTCCGTTGGAATTAAAAAGATGAAAGATCACAAATGTAGGAGAAAATGTGGCGAAAAGGGAATACTTATGCATTGTTGGTGAGAATATAAAATAATGTGCCCATTATTTAAAACAATATAAATGTTGAGGAGATTCCCCAAGATGGTGGCTGAGTAACAACTTCTGTGCAGCCGGGTGCAAGTGAGTGTGGGGAGAGAAGATTCTAGGCATCTCTGGCTGGTGGGTTTTGCCCAGAGGCTTCCCTTTGGTTATACAGGAAGTCAGCCAAAGACTTCTGGACCCCAGGAGGGGAGCAGATGCTGTGGAAAACTGGCAAGTGCTGGGTGTGTTTGTTTGGTTGGAGGCTGCCTGCAGTTGTAACCATAGCAATAATGAGACTGCAAGCAGGAAAAGCCTTACCTGTGGGCTGTTTTGGGTTTTTTGGACTTGGGCACTAGATTGAACTGCCTTGGGAGATCTTGGGCGGGTGTGCAGACAACTTTGGGTGTTGTCTGGGGCCTGGGACTGAGCCACTGAACCAGAGGGAAGCTAATATCATTCAGCTGTGGGCTGCCTGCACAGCTACTGTGGGAGAGCTACCCCTGCATGTTGCAGCACAGGGTTGAATGGAAGACCTTGGCTGAGGAATTTAGAGACTGAGCTGCGTAAAAGCAGAGACTGAGATGCTGGGGAAGTGCAGAGATCCAAGCTTTTGGCAGACTAATAGCTTTGGCGCTCAGGGGCATAGAGGGAGTCTGGATTTGGTGCACTGGATAAGTGGGCAGCCGTGCCAGGAGAGATCCTAGTGGTAAGTGTTTTCCTTGGAAAGCTTCTGTTCCACCAAGGTTCATAGTTTGGAGTGTCTTTTAAGTGGGCTGAGGAGACATTTGGACTCCCAAGCCTGCAGGGTCTGAAAGACCAACAGAGGCCTCCAGTCTTCATCTCAAACAGCTGTGTTAATACTGAGATCAACATTTCATACCTCAGAAGATCACCTGTTGCCTGGACAAAATTCAGCAGGATATATATACTGTTTGATTGTTTGGTTTGGGTTTTTTTTTTTTCTTAATTTCAACATTTGTCCTTGACATTTTTAAATTTTTTTCCTTTTTTGCTCTTTTTTCTCCCTTTCCCCCCACTATTCTAGTTTAAATACAATCTTCCATTGTTGCCTTCTTTAACAACTAGAATTTCATTTTTATCAGTGTTTCTGCCCCTATTATTTGTTTTAATTTTATCCTGTTAGGTTTTTTGCTTGTTTGTTTTGGTTTGATTTATAGTATTTTTGTCTTTCCTCTATACCTGGTGGAGGTGGGGTACTGTATCTGATCCAGCTGGCAAAGAGCTGTTGACCTCAAGGGAACCACCCATCCCAGCACCCCAGAAGTAGGGGTTTTTTTAAGGTTGGGTCACAGTACCCTACTATACACCTATATTACTCCTGTTTCCTTCTTTTGGTGCCTTTCTTCTCTTTGTCAATATTTCCTTTTGCTCACTCCCCCTTCTTTCTCTTTATTTCTTTCTTCTTAAAATCTTTTTTCCCTTCTTGCTCTTCAATCTTCTCATCCCTCTGGTCTTATACCAAAAGGACTCATTAAAACTTTAGGCCAGAGGCACAGTTACTTAAAGAGCAAGAAGTGAAAGGAAAATTAGGCTAAGGACATAGATACAAGAAAGCACTCATGAAGAAGAATCAGCAGAAAAATCCTGGCAACATGAAATATCAGTTCAGAGTAACCCCTTCTAGGGATCATGAGGTAGCTATAGCAGAGGATTCCTCTTATAAAGAAATGTTAGAAATGACAGAAAGGGAATTTAGAATACAGATTATGAAAATAATGAAGGAAATTATGGAAACAATGAAGGAAATTGCTGATAATGTGGAAAATACCCAAAAGGAAATCCAAAAACAGGATTAAATAAGAGATGAGTGATATGAGGAATATAAAAAAGATATAGCAGAGCTGAAGGAACTGAAGCAGTCAATTAGGGAATTTAAGGATGCAATAGAAACTATGAATAACAAATTAGACCATGCTGAAGAAAGAATCTCAGAGGTTGAGGATAAAGCTTTTGAGATAACTCAGATAGTTAAAGAGGCAGAAAAGAAGAGAGAGAAAGCAGAACGTTCACTGACAGAATTATGGGAGTCTATGAAGCATTCAAATATATGAGTTATAGGTATCCCTGAGTGGGGGAAAATGTCCCAGAAGAATGGAAGCCATTCTAGAAAATACTATGAATGAAAACTTCCCAAATATCACCAAGGATTTTTATATACTCCTTTCAGAGGTATATTGGTCCCCTGGTTGCCTCAATTCAAACAGAGCCTCTCCAAGGCATACTGTGATGAAACTATCTAAAGTCAAGACAAAAGAAAAGACTTTTACAAGATGCCAGGAATAAGCACCTACTGACCTACAGGAGCAAATCTATCAGGATGACCGTGGACTTCTCTAATGAAACTTTTCAAGCTAGAAGACAATGGTCATCTATCTTTAATCTACGTAAAAAAAAAAAAACAAAAAAACAATTTCCAGCCCAGAATTCTATATCCCACTAAGTTAAGCTTTAAAATTGACAGAGAAATCAAATCTTTTATTGATATGCAAACATTGAGGAAATTTGCCACAACAAGACCACCTTTACAGGAAATATTTCTACTTGTTCTACACACTGACCATCACAATAGACCTTCAGGAAAGTAAACACCCAGAAATTAAAGGACATAACCTAGTTTCCACAATGATGCAAAAGA